ATGGGTAACAAGAGCGAAACTCCGTCTCAAAAAAAAAAAAAAAAAAAAGATCCAGCTCAAAACTCACCCATCCAACAAGAGGTGCCTTTCTTACTGAGCCTATATTAAGCAGATCACTCCTTTATTCTACATCTGCAGTGCTATTTTGCATATAATAAAATTTGTTCAGTATAATTAGTGGTCATTTGCTTTTCAAATGTCTCCTGGTTTCATTATACATCTGGACTTCTCAAATACATTGAAAGCTAGGGCACGCTTTCCATTATGTATGCTTTGTACAAACCAAAGAAGCTGGTATAATCTGCACACCTGGTAAATATCCAGTAACACACTCTGCTAAAACCTCTCTAACCTCATGGCCCACTGCTCCTGCTGGGGCACAGTCAAATTCCAGGGACCTTTTTTTTTTTTTTTTGAGATAGAGTCTCACTCTGTTGCCAGGCGCCAGGCACAATCTTGGCTCACTGCAACCTCTGCCTCCCGGGTTCAAGCAATTCTCCTGCCTCAGCCTCCTGAGTAGCTGGGACTACGGCGCGCACCACCACGCCCAGCTAATTTTTGTAATTTTAGTAGAGACGGGGTTTCACCATGATGGCCAGGATGGTCTCGATCTCTTGACCTCGTGGATCCACCTGCCTCGGCCTCCCAAAGTGCTGGGATTACAGGCTTGCGCCACCGCGCCCCGCCTCCAATTCCAGGGAACTCTTTGCTACTCTTTCGGTAGCTAAGCAAACTCGCTCCTGCAATGTGACCTTTGCACAGATGCTTCTTTCTCCAAAGGCTGACTCTCTTCTCCTTCAAATCTTTGCTCAGATGTCATTTTCCTTCCCAAGGAGGCTTACCCTGACCACCCTATTTAATAGTTCATCTGCCCACCCACAGGGCACTCTCAACTCCCCATATAGGACTTGCTCTATTTCTTTATATTTATTTATTTAAATTTTTTGAGACAGAGCTTAGCTCTTGTTGCCCAGGCTGGAGTTCAATGGCACGATCTCGGCTCACTGCAATCTCAGCCTTCCGGGTTCAAGTGATTCTCGTGCCTCAGCCTCCCAAGTAGCTGGGATTACAGGCATGCGCCATCACACCTGGCTAATTTTGTATTTTCAGTAGAGATGGGGTTTCTCCATGTTGGTCAGGCTGGTCTCAAACTCCCGACCTCAGGTGATCCACCCACCTCGGCCTCCCAAAGTGTTGAGATTACAGGTGTGAGCCACCACGCCGGCCGGTCCTGCTCTATTTTTTTCGGGAATGCTTGACACATTCTAACATAGTACACAGTTCATTTGTTTATTATGTTTGTCTGACCCTTGCCCTACTAAGCTCCACAGGAGAGAGATGGTTGTATTTTATTCACTGATCTAGCCCAGGCCCTTAGAGAGTACATGAAACTCAAATGTTTGTTTAATGAAAGAATAACAAATTAATATATTTGACAATTTGAAATCTGCTATTTGATCTATGGCCTATGTACCAAATGAAGGTTAACACAATAAGGACAACACCATTTTCCCTACAAAATACATAGGCCCTAGTCTCACATCACACATACCTTAAGTATAAAGACATTCTAGTCTGTGATCTGCAACAAAACATACCCAATTTTGGCAGGCATGTAGAGCATCAAAGGCACTACTGGAGAGTCTTCATTTCCATAGATGATGAAGCCCATCTCTTTCAGGCGTCTCCTGAAATACCTGGTGTTTTCAGCTAACTGCTGTACACACTCTTTACCTGGAAAGTCATGGGGAGAGATAACAAAATAATACTAGGAAAAAAGGAATGAAGAAAAGATAGCAGTCTCCTCTATCTCCATTCTAATCAGTTCTGTTTCATTTTTTTGCATTTCACCATAAAATATTTTGCACAGTAAACTGTATGGAATATAAATGTAAATAAATGTCTCATTCTGTATTCTGTCATTCTACCTGTTAATAGCAGAAGTTCTAATAATGTAAAAAACGTTTAACAGCGCATTAGCATCCTCAAAGAATTTCAGCCATACCCCCTCACTGAGCACTCCACACATCCCTTAATAGTAGGTAGGATATTTATGGTTACCTTCATATTATAGGTCAGGAGAGTCTCACCAAGGTGGTGACATGCCGACAGTTGCACAATAGTGTGTAACATACTAGTAGGTAGCAAGTGCCACAGCTGCAACTAGAATTTACGTCTCCTAACTTTAAGATTCATTCCAACTAACAGTGCTGCAAAGAAATTTTATACATAAGACCAGAGATGAAGCCATTTAGACCCTCAAATTTTCATCTATGAGTTTCATTTTATGTTGTTTCATTAAAATTCTTGATTTTTTTCTTTTTCTTTTCAGATGATGTCTTGCTCTGTCGCCCAGGCTGGAGTGCAATGGCACAATCTTGGCCCACTGCAACCTCTGCTTCCTGGGTTCAAGCGATTCTCCTGTCTCAGCCTCCTGAATAGCTGGGGTTATAGGCGCATACCACCATGCCCGGTAATTTATTATTTTTAGTGGAGATGGGGTTTTGCCATGTTGGCCAAGCTGGTCTTGAACTCCTGACCTCAAGTGATCTGCCCACCTCAGCTTCCTAAAGTGCTAGTATTACAGATGTGAGCCACTGTGCCTGGCCTGTTTCCTTAAAACTCTTACCAGGCAGCAGTAGCATATCTGTAACAGTATAAAATCGTATCTTTAATCCTACTGTACTCATCTTCCTTAAAACACAAATAGATTAAAACACACATTTCTGTAGCTGCTAACTGACTAAATATTTGGGCAGGTTTTGACATTATGGTAGGTCAATCTTTGAAAAGATACCCAAACAACTGTTCTGTTATACAGAACAACGAAATAAATTCAAAAGATCAGCTTGTAAAAGGCTAAGAACGATATTATAATCTTCTCACAATCATAAACACTCATGAATAAAAAAGGCTGCAGTAATTTTCACATAGATTATAAAATCAGCAAGTTCACATTTTTAAAAGTCCAAACATGTTACATATGACGTAAGTTCTTAAGACACATTAACCAATCAGATATCCAGATGGCTAACAAATGTCCTAAGAATTAGAATACTCATATATCCATCATTCATAGGAAGCTACTCTAGATAAGTTGGCCACAAATAAGTCAAAATTAATACTCTTTATGTAGATAATTTGAAGTTGATCAGAGAAAAACAAGCTTAGATTAGCCTAATTAGTGTAAACACTGAAGAGCATGATTTAAGTTATGTCATCATTTAAGTTAAGTTACAAAGAAGAAAGCAAACATTAAAGTGTGTTATATTTAAGTATGCTGGGAACTGATGAGCCAAGTACCCTAATTTCCCCTTAGAAATATCAATGTATGCTTAATCTACATGAAGATGAGACTTCTTCCGGCTATGGAGTGCCAGAGGCTGGATTTACCTTCCTTTTGTAAACAACAGGAAACTGGACAAAGTACATAAACAATAACTTTTAGACACTGAACCACAGGCGGTGCCAGACTATGCTGCCTGAACACAGGCCCCAGGCTGCTGCACAGGGAAGGAGTGCCCAGTCTTGCCAGCTGAGGACATCTGAGATTGGATTGGAGAATTGCCAGTTGAGATCAGAGTTGGGGAGGCTGCAGGAACTAGAATTTGTTGGGCAGTGTACGGGAGAGAAGGGGATGAGATGAGAGAGATTTAGGGATCTGCAGAGGGATCCCTCTGAAATTTGGGAAGAGTACTGATTTGTATACGCATGAAAAAAAACTAGAGAAAGATCTATCAGAAAGCAATAGGCCAAACTATTCCTGCACTCAGTGGAGCTGGGAATAGTTTGTATTTTTATCCACCAGAATGGTAAGTTCTGGAGTCATCTAACAGAGTCCTCAGAAGGAGACTCCACTGCTATCACCTTAGTAGTGGAGATAAATTAACCCTAGACTAAATATTGGTCTAAACCCACCCTAACCTTAAAATGAAGTCTCAAAAGGATCTGACTGATTCCAAGAACAAAGTCCAGCATTACCCAAAGGAAAACAACAAGATATAGAACCTAGGAATGTAAAATTCGCATGTCCAATATATAATTTACAAATTCCAGGCCTTCAAAGAAACAGGAAAATACAATGTACAACCAGGGGAGAAGTCAATCAATAATAACAGACCAGAAATAACAGAGTATTAGCACATAAGGATGTTAAAGGCCACTATACATATGATTTTTATGTTCAAAAAGGTAGAAGAAACATGAGGAGGGAAAGGAAATATACAAAAAGGAACAAACAGTTGTAAGGCAACAATGCTGATGACTCTCAAAGCATAATGTTAAATGAAATAAGCCAGACATGAGATTGCACACTGTATGAATTCATTTGTATGAAATTCTAAAGACATACTGTAATAACAGAAAACAGATTCATGGCTGCCAGGGTATGGGAAGGGGAGTGATATAGCAAAGGGGCAAGAGGAAACTTTCGGGACAATGAAAATATTCTAACCTTGATCATGGCATGGTTGTAAGATTGGATACATGGGACCAGATGCAGTGGCTCACGCTTGCAATCCCAGCACTTCAGGAGGTCGAGGCAGGTGGATCATCAGACGTCAGGAGTTTGAGACCAGCCTGGCCAACATGGGAAAACCTCATCTCTATTAAAAATACAAATATTAGCCAGCGGTATTGGTGGGCACCTTTAATCCCAGCCACTTGGGAAGCTGAGGCAGGAGAATTGCTTGAACCTGGGAGGTGAAGGTTACAGTGAGCCAAGATCGCGCCACTGCACTCCAGTCTAGGCGACAGAGCAAGACTCTGTCTTTAAAAAAAAAAAAAAAAAAAAAAAGATTGGATACATGTCAATACTCAAAAACTCATGGAATTACTACACATACTTAATTTTGGTGAATTTTATCATATTTGAAAGATATCTCATTAAAGTTGTTCTAAAAAGTTGAGTGATGCTTTTGCATATTAGTCTAGTGTACATTAACTTTTTCTGCATCCACTTTACCATTTTGTAACTCATCATCTTTTTTTTTCTTTTTTTTCTTGAGACGGAGTTTCACTCTTGTTACCCAGGCTGGAGTGCAATGGCGCGATCTCGGCTCACCGCAACCACTGCCTCCTGGGTTCAGGCAATTCTCCTGCCTCAACCTCCTGAGTAGCAGAGATTACAGGCACGCACCACCATGCCCAGCTAATGTTTTGTATTTTTAGTAGAGACGGGGTTTCACCATGTTGACCAGGATGGTCTCGATCTCTTGACCTCGTGATCCACCCACCTCGGCCTCCCAAAGTGCTGGGATTACAGGCTTGAGCCACCGCGCCCGGCTTTTTCTTTTTTAAGACAGGGTCTCACTATGTCACCCAGGCTGGAACCTCTGTCTCCCTGGCGTAAAGGATCCTTCTGCCTCATTCTCCTGAGTAGCTAAGACTACAGGTGTGCATCGTCATGCCCAGCTAATTTTTAATTTTTTTTTGTAGAGATGAAGTTTCACCATTGTTACCCAGGCTGGTCTGGAAGTCCTGGGCTCAACTGATCTACCCGCCTGACCTCCCAAAGTGCTGGGATTACAGGCGTGAGCCACCATGCTGCCTAGCCGCCACCTTTAAAAAAAAAAAAAAAAAAAAAAAAAAAAATCACAAATCTTTTAGCTATTTAATCAAAAATTTAACTAGCCTGTTTTTTTTTTTCTTTGGAGACACAGTCTCACTCTGTCGTCATGCTGGAGTGCAGTGGCGCAATCTTGGCTCACTGCAACCTCCGCCTGTCGAGTTCAAGCAATTCTCTTGCCTCAGCCTCCCGAGTAGCTGGGACTACAGGTGTGCGCCACCACACTCAGCTAATTTTTGTATTTGTATTTTTTTAAAGATGGGGTTTCACCATGTTGGTCACGCTGGTCTTGAACTCCCAACCTCAGGTGATCTGCCCACCTTGGCCTCCGAAGTGGATTACAGGCGTGAGCCACCACGCCTGGCCTAATTTTTGTATTTTTAGTAGAGAAGGGGTTTCACTATGTTGGCCGGGATGGTCTCGATCTCTTGACCTCGTGATCCGCCCACCTCGGCCTCCCAAAGTGGTGGGATTACAGGCGTGAGCCACTGCACCCGGCCGACTAGCCTGTTTTTTTAAAAACGTTTTTCCAAACTGAAAATGGAACTACCATACAGTCCAGCAATCCCACTACTGCCGTTTATCCAAACAAAAGGAAATCAGTATATCAAAGGGATATATACACAGCTATGTTTCCTGCAGCACTATTCAGAATAGCCAAGATATGTAATCAACCTAAGTATCAGCAGATGAGTGGATAAAGAAAATATGGCAGATACACAAAATGGAATACTATCCAGCCATAAAAAGAATGAAATGCTGTCATTTGTGCAACATGGATAGGACTGAAGGTCATGATGTTAAGTGAAATGAGCCAGGCACGGAAAGACATGTATCACCTGTTCTGACTCATGTGGGAGCTAAAAAAGTAGATCTCATGGAGGTAGAGAGTAGAACAGTGGTTACCAGATGCTGGGAAGGGTGGGGAAAAGGGGACTGAAGAGAGGTTGGTTGATGCATACAAACATATCATTAGATAGGAGGAATAAGGTTTAGCATTTGATAGCACAGTAGGATGACTACAGTTAACAATAGTTTACTGTGTATTTCAAAATAGCTAGAAGAGCTGAAATGTTCTCAACACAAAGAAATGATAAATGTTTGAGATGATGCATATCCTAAATATTCTGATTTGATCAGAGTATTTGATACTGTATACATGTATCAA